ATATATATATATATATATATATATATATATATGTGAGTGTAACTTTGTTTATTTTCCTCTCACTTTTTTTTCTTCCGATTTTCCTTTTTTCTGTTTGGAGAGAGAACTTTCTTGTATGTAATTTATTTGCAGTCAGTTCTTTTCTCATCTAATTGGGACACTGTTTCAATTATGGTGTGTTGCTATTGTATGGCGATGCTACGGTTTTCTGGGAGACAAAAAGGTTGTTTTTCAAAGAAGGATAGCTTTGTTCTAGTTTTGATATTGGGCAGTGCAGAGAGACGGCATTTTAAAGAAGTCAACGAATTAGTCCCATCGTCATCGAAGGACATCAGCATGTTTTTATTATCTCGGGACCACTCATAATTGAACCCATTCCCGACTTAAACGAAAAAATGTTTTTCTTCAACGTAATGTTGGACTGGAATTCAAAATCTTTGGATTATTTCATTTTAAAAGTCTTTGAAACTGAAAGTAATGCTTGCCGTATTTGTGTTAATCACTCTTGATAATACATTTCAGTTAGAGTTCATATTGTCGCATACATTAATTGAGGACTTTTGCTTCCAGTTAAAAGTGTAAATTCTATGAAAGTCGTCAAAAATGAGTGTATTTTAGGTTGTGCGACACATTGGAGAGCAGCTTTCGACGACTCAAGTAGCATTTCATTACGACGATATTTCACGTGAATACATAACGATGTCACAACCCCCACCGTACGCCGATACTGTGATCAGCCTAGACAAACAACCTCTTACGAAATAATAACTGAATTTTTGGCGACGCAAATCACAAACGGAAATCTCATGCGTATTTGACATGAGGTTTATAAAAATATTTTCTCTTCAGTCTGATAATTTTAGTTCATTGGCACATCGCAGTTATCTATTTATCCACTCCTTTTCCTTAATAACTTCGGGCTTTTAGGAACTTCTTTAAAAAATTGTGGCTTGTTAAATGATCACAAGTTGTACTTCTATTTAAACCATGTGCAGTAATCTATAAGCTTTATCTCTAATTTGAATTACCCATCAGTTTTTTAACTGAAATCCTTAATTTTGTAGAAGTTCCATTCGTTATCATTTATTTCTGATATTATTACTAGCATGGCTCCCGGTTTATTGTATAAGGGTTTATTCTATCGATGGTTTTTTCTATTATCATGGTTCGTAAAATTCAGGAAGCAGGATTTCCTGAAAATAAACATTGAGCTCATTATATATGATATTGTTATCAGAATTGAACATATGTGTTTCTCCTAAAATCTTACTTCATTTGGAATAAAATTCTCCTTATACTCTTTTCGATTTCAGCAATGGAATAGCTCCAGCTATAACAAAAACGAATTAAAAACTCATTGTTTTTCTAAACCTCAGCAGTGTATAACATATTGCAACTTGTTTTCATGTTAAAAAACATTCCACAATAAACGTCATTTCTGTTTGCATTACTGATTGCTTCCTTTTAGATAATGAAGGGAATGACAGATTCCTACCTTCTGTTCGTTAAGATTACTTCGAGACAAGCACTGGAGTTGATTTGCTTAGTTTCATTCTTAAAATTTGGGGAAAAGATCTGGAATGTTTCTGGGCGAAAGGCTTAATCCTTGATTCCATTCCTAATGCATTTTAAAAATGGAACTTGCTTTTATGATGCAGGGATTTTAGCTGTATTTCATTTTCTAAAGATTGTGCTAGACTTCAACTTCTACTGTGTTTTTGGTTGTCTTGAATTCTTGTATGTTGAATAAAACATCAATCGTTGCTACCATCCGTATGGATAGTAAACGGGGATGATTTCTGAAATTAGTATCAATGGACTTTACACCGAGAAGAGTGTTCTTGTCCGGATACGTTTCACTTTATTTTTCATGTGGGTCGGAAAGATCTCAGTATTTCCAGAATTCCGAGTGGAAACTCATGAGTGATGACAGGGCAGTTTTAGAATTGCTGTTCTGTCGTTGGGTCGCTCGCTGCTTTCTGAATTTACATACTTTTCTTTTTCATGCCAAACTTTCGCAGTGTTGGACTTTGCACCAACTCGTGAGAAAGAGGATGATTATCTGCCTGGTGCTGGATATTCTTAGAACTATAATTCCTTAGTTTAACACCTTTCCCTGATATCCTTCCCTTAAGGTCCCATTAAATTTTCTCGATTCTTATTGCCTCAGTAATTCTCTTCAGAAATTTATTATCACGCTTACTTGAAGCATTTGATTGGATGTCCCACTAACAGACAGCATTTTCACTTATTGTCACCATACTCCCAAAGAATTTCTGATCCCACCATTTTGGCTCCTTTCCTTCCCTGTGTTTGAGACATACTTACTTAATTATCATCATTTACTGAGACGATTGTAACTTGAAAATAAAGGGCAAGGTTTCTGCCAAAAGTGTTGGTTTCATTAAAAATTAGATCTGAAGTTACAATATGATCACTTCCTTTAGCTACTCGCATTGCGGCCTCAAGTCTAGTTGGGACTAATAGGGTAGTTATGAGCGATTCAGGAGTCGGTATCCCAGTTTCTGGACCCTCGTCTTCCAGACCTAGCCAAGACTAGAGAACCCACATGTTGAGATTGGAATTTGCACGGTGGAACCAACCTTATGCTTTTTCGCGAACATTGCGTTGCTCGGTGGAGTACGAAGGGCAGTTGCCTAGTGTTTCATGATTCGTTGAGTTGGGCAATCATTTCCGGGATTTTAGCGCTTAAGTAGCTGAAGACAACTAGTGATGTCAATATGAAGCTTAAGTAATCATATTCCGCACTAATTGCTTGTAAAACACTGCGTTGATTTACATCTCATAAATATTATTGTTATGAATGCATGCTTCGCCCACATTACTCACATGTTTGTCATCTTTTCAGATTTCGAGAAGCTTTAATGAGTGGAACTTGGAGTTAGCTGGAATGATACTATCAAAAATTGCAGCCTTGTATATCGTAGCTTTTGCTAGAGCCATTGAATTGACGTTTGAATTATCCGACAGTGCGAATCAGTGCTTTTTTGAGGATATTAAAGCTGGCATTGACTGCGTCATCGAATATCAGGTACTATACCTTAATTGTACAATTATACACATAGTTTCAGTCTTGCTTATACTGTCTTACTATTTATTGAAACGTAGAGATGGCTTAGTCCCATTATCACATAGAAAGTTTAAAATCTTTTATGATTAGAACATTACATTATATTCTCTTTTGCCAAAATTCTAATTTATTTCGGAACCAATTGTCTCCCTACGACCTCATTGACGTTCTCGACCTAAATTCTGAAACCAGAAGTGATCTTTTGCATCTCACATTCACCTATCGTTTTGTCCTTATGTGGCACATTTTCGTACTTTATCGTATTTCAGGTAGTAACAGGTGGTCAGTATGATGTAGATATGACTCTTCAAGATGAGAGAGGTAAAATCCTGTACAAAGGTGTCAAAAAGCAGTATGATAATTTTTCGTGGAAAACAGAAACAGAAGGAACATATAAGGTTTTTTTTTTTCCATTCTATGAAGTTCTAAGAATCCACTGAGCTGTTTGGAAAATATAAAATCAAGTCTTATGGAAAAAGTTGCTGCTATGCGAAATTACATTAGATTGAAAACCGTGTAAGTTCCTACTTCAAACGAATGAAGAAGTGTAGAGGACTTCCACTAATTTTTTTAGTTCATACTTTTCAGGCATGCTTCTCAAATGAATTTTCAACTTTTTCACATAAGGTAGTTTATATGGATTGGCAAAAGGAAACGAGGGTCAGCTCTTATCAGGTACAGTTTTTATTCACTTATATTAAAAGCCGGATAGCACTTCTTTTTATGATGTTTTTCATGTCATCTTGATTTGCAGAGATCAAGAAAAACAACCATGAAATCCGTTTTGGAACATCAGAAATCTTCATGTTATTACATTGTATAGAGTTATTACTTATATAGTTACCTTATACAGAACAAACCTATTATTGCACTCTACAATTTTGATAAAACTGGGGAAACATTTCCTAGTACTCTTCAGGCGATACTTTATCTCAAGGTATCGATAAGGTAACTTCACGAATAGCAGCCGTGACACAACTTGAAACATCTGCATCAGCTATTGGTGATCGGCTGAGGCTTATTGATGATTATCAAACACATCATCGATTGAGAGAAGCTACTGGACGTAAGCGCGCGGAGGATCTCAACGAACGCGTTTTAATGTGGTCTTTGGGACAAACGGCTATTATTATTACTTTGGGAATTGCACAGGTAATATACATTAAATATACACTAACTGACTAAATTTTTTTTTCCATCGAAATTCCCACAGAAAGATAAATCTTGCATCTTTTAATTTATGCGGTTTTTTCACTAAATGATAAAACTTTGGCGACGATTCATTCTGTTATGTTGCCACTCCTTTGAAACATAGAAATGTTTATTCTGAAGTATTAATATTCAGAGAAATCAGTACTGCTGCATAGTTGTTAATTATAGCTAATGGTATAGAATATTTTAAATCAAAAATAACAGTATATCCATTTATAAAAGGTATCAAAGGAAAAATAACTTTGAAAAGTTGGAGAAACTGAAAATCGCGCTTACCTTCGATGCAACTTGCTCTATTTGGATAACGAAATATGAGCTAAAGATTTCAATTTAGAATTATTTGACATTTATGAATTGAATAAAGTAAAACAGTCCATATTTGTGTTCATTTGCAGGTACTCCTACTTCGTTCATTTTTCACCGAGAAACGAACTATCTTCTAATGTGCTTTTTCATACTGAATACTTTGCCTTCTTATAATTCTTGTTTATTATTCACACCTCCTTCATAGCTTATTTGGTTTAAACACACCTTCTTCATAGCTTATTTGGTGCATGACTGGTCAGCAGGTCGTTTTTCCGGGGGTAATTTTCGGAATAAGTTCTATCATCTTCAGGTCGTATCGGAATTTTTTCTAGCTAGTGTATCTGAAACAGTGTGTGCTGCAATAAAATCAATTAAGGCTCTGAACATTACCGACACAAATCTGTTTCAGAAACCATTAACTTTTACTTGGAGATAATAGATTTATTGCAAAATTGAAATAAAGTGGTTTTTTCCAATGTAGAGGCGACTTTTTTTTTTTAAATAGGCTACTACTGAAAAGAAAATTGTTAAATCTTATTGTTTGCAGTTCTTCAGCATCGTTCTTGTTCTTGTTAGTATACGTGGCAGAAGTTGTCTCAGCCGAATTTTCATCCCGTGGTATATGCAAAAGACTTTCTAAAACCTTCTGGAAACTTTTCCCAAAATTTATAAAGATTTTCTGCTTTACTGTAGTGTATTTGTATGTCAGTTCCTATCAGCATATTCTTCATTTGCAATTGCTACAAAGGACTGAAAATCTTCAGTTGTTTCATGATGCAAGGGTCGGTAATTACGATACGACTGGTAGCGAATTATCTTTACTCTTAAATTTAAGCAAATTCAGTACTACATTTATGTTCGTGGTGATATAAGTTCTCTGGAAAAAATAAATTAACTTCAAGAATTCAATTTAACAATAACCTAACCATCACCAATAGTTGCCCTATTTTAAAAAACAATTTACATAATGCAGCATAATGAAAATAACTATTTATATAAAAGGAAACTGTACAAGATCGGCTAGTAGCAGTAAATATTCAAAAGTTGAAGATGTTGCAGCACAAATTGACGCATTGCGTTTAATGTTTGGAACACGCAAAAATGCATTTATGTGAGAAAGGAGTCATGCAACCCATGTCAGGTGAAACGATTGACACCGCAAATTTTAAATTTAAGTACGTTATGTGATGAAATGCAAACTGCTGAAGTTGAATGTGACGCAGTAAAGAAATGCAGTTAAAATTCCTATGTGATAGCTTGCTGTGTAGATCCAAGTCTAGTGGAGGATATATTTATCCTGATAGGGTAATTTATTCCATGTCCTTAAATAAGTCTCTCGGACATTAGCAGTCGAGCAGTTTTCTGAACACATTCTTCAAGATTCCGCAAAAATACTCAAGAGCATTTTTTATAACAAAGAATTTGGGAATTATTTCAGATGAAAGATAATTACATTATAAATAAAGTCATCTGTTTGTGATCTTGAGCGCTTTGCCACTTGATTTATTCAGTGAGAGTGGAATCACTAAAACGGAAATAATGTCCTTTCTCCAGATCGGTGTAAAAGTGTTCGTAATAATCAGAGAATGACTTGAAAACGATGCCATCTTCAGCCAGCCAAAAAAGGAAAACAATACGCTGCAGCCGTTCCATCAATGTTTAATACAAATTTATGCTGAAATTCCACTCCTTTTTCGCTTCATTTCCAAAGATTAATTTTAATTAAAATTATGTGTACGCAATATATAAATAAAACGGAGGGTAAATCTTGAAGAAATCTGGAAACGTTTCAATCGTTAACGTATGTTGAGATTGGCGAGAAAAGGAATACTGCTTGATCCCTGCATCCAGAAGACTAGGATGCAGTCTTGATAATTTCGCTATTTTAAGTTGTAACTGTAATGAAAGCCTATTTACTTATTCGAGAATGAGCCAGTAATACTTCCCTATTGGGGACGTCCATTATTACATTATATGAATAGAATGGATTTTCTATCCTTTTGGGACCGACTTCATAAATTTCAAAGTAATTACAGGAAATTTATATTTGAAAAAACATAACATACCTTATTGGAATCACAACTTGAAACGCAGATTCATCTTTTTTCTGTTGTTATCCATGATACTTCCCATTCATGACAGAATGTATATCAATGTAACCGACTCCATAGACTGACTTTATCAGCTCATTTGTTGGTAATACTGTATCCACTGTATCGTAAATTACATTGTACACTGATTTTCAAAGAACTACAGTGGTTTTTGTAAATTTAAGTAAACATACGATTAAGGGTTAAGTGGAAGGATCCTTGAGCTATTGGTCGACATGTTCTTGGTAATTACATCCATTATTTATTTTGTCAAATTCTCTATTATTCGATTTTAACTAAATACATCAGCACTAAACACCAAAAACACCAGCTCTGGAGCCACATCGGCTAATTACCAGGACGAGGTCATTTCCCGCCTTCACCAGCTGCCAATTGCCAAAATTAAAGATAAATTCGGTATTTGGCAAATATTTTCCATTAATGGCATGAATGCCGCACCAAGAAATACCAAAAACCAGTATATTCTCCAAAATACCCCCTGAAAAACCGAAAGAAAATCTGAATAAGTTAGGTTATGTTTTTCGGCAAAAAAAGTAACGGTTTTGTTGGAGTGCTGGTAGCAAACAAGAATAAGTGAACAACAGCCATTTGAAAAGTATTAGTAATGCATGAAGAACCATCAACAAACAAATTAAGGATTTACCCAAATCTGGTTCGCATTGTACAGCAGAAACAGCTGCAGTCATGTCGAATATCAGATTATGTAATGAGAAGGCCCGTAACACAATCGTAGAAAGCACGTATGATTTTAATTAGAAACGTTTTCCGTCATTTTCAGTGATAATGGCATAATGCATTGCTGTGACGCTGCTGCGGACTTGCCCATTTCTTTTTTACTGTCGTTAATACTTCTTCAAAATTAATCGCAGATAATGACTCAAATCACTGTCAAGCTGTGAATATTGTGATGTGCAACCAGTTTCGAAACAATCCCTTTCGGACAATCACAGTACTCCGAATAGAGTAAATCACCATCGGCGAAATAACATCAAGGCTATTGAAGAACCATGTGTTTAAAAACTGCATATTTAGCATCATTTTGCAAAGGAGAGAAATTAAACATATCATCCGAAAAAAAAATGCATACATTTGACATAAGAGTCTCTTCGTTTCGCCATATCGTAGCTGTCAAATGTATGCATGCGAGTATACGACGGATTACATCAGTGATTATCAAACCTATTTTGATTATAACTGGGGAGTCACATAATGGGACACCAATACGAACATTTACAACCATCTGTAGACAAGAAGACCATAACCGTAATCGTAACAGATATGAGCCGCCATGATAGTCAAGTAACTGGAATCTACAATTCTCCATAACATCCTCGGCAAAATCAAAAACAATATAATGTTTATAATAAAAACATTATTTTTAGCAATATAATTCAAGAAACTACGCTTGTTTTATGGAAAACAGATATTTTCAAAGACTATGTTCGTTTCGCCATATCGTAGCTGTATATGCAAATAGCGAACTGGTAAATCAAGTTTGAAGGTACCGAAACAAAATGGATCTCCAGCTTTCTCGATGGATGACAAAATAAATAAACCAGTAATGAATAAAAAGTAACAAAAACTCCCTATCATCTAAAACTGACATTCAAATTCTCCCTACAAATATCTAACAATTACTAAGAAGAAAAAGACATTTGGGGACAAGTTATCCATGGCGAGGTCTGATCATCAAGAAGTTTAACAGGATTTATTCCGCACGAGATCATCGACCAATAATCACTCTAATACTATTTATGTATCCGTCATCTCTGATAAAATTCACAAAAAAAATCGAAGTAACCTATTAGCCTTAGATTTAGTCTCAATGCAACTACGATCCATGCTGTTCAAAGAAAGAACTATAGAAAGAAAGCCTTGTAGTCCTGAGAATGAAAATTGAAATCAGTATAAAACACAAAGAAAAAGTGATGGAGCTTTTCAAATATGACAAACAAGATTATAAATAGATCTGAAAAACTGAGCACTGTGTGACGGTGAATTATTCGTGTGAAAGCAAAAAGCGCAGAAATGTGGGGAAAAAAAATCTAACTTTATCCAACTTTCAAACTTACAACAAACAACAAAGGTTAACAGAGACAGTACATAGCTTCATAGAAGACTATTAAGCTAAAAGAAATCAAGCCTTCAAGTTCAAGTTGACTTAAAAAAATTTTTTAAGTCAACTTAAAAAATTTTTATGCTGACTTAAAAATCTATTACTCTGTGAATTTTCCCTTACAAATGTATGACAAACCGTTACATTCCTTGAGGCTAGAAAACTTATTTGTTAAGGAAATATGTTCCAAATATAGTAATAAAGGAGTGGTTGTACTTCGTAAGTGATAGTGGTAGATTGAATGCTCTGACAACTTCTATTCGTCAACTTCTTCCTTGATCTGCAAAAAAACATGAGAATACAACTTATTTACTTCAAAGTTCACCACAGGTAGTTTTGACTCCATATCATTTCTCGATTTCAACTTATGTTTCTTACGGATGTTTTATCGACGATCCAAACTAATGATTAGCTCACTTAATCAAGAGCATGATTTAGGAGACTAGTGCTCGATTTGGTATATTAATTGTTTGTCATAATAATATGAAAATGATTTGAACAAACTAAAGCCAAAGGACCAAATCTAATTTCGAACTAAACTGCATCATTTGGCAAATAAACTAAATGACATTAGTGTACCGCAAGGAAAAGTGATGAAGAACTTGATTAATGAACCCATGTTAAAAAATTATCGAGACATATCAAAGTCTGAGCTTAATTCAAAACAAGAACTACGTATCGAAAATAATGCCAGTTCAGGACCTTTCAATTCAATACAAGAAACATTGTTTTGAAGAACTTAAATACTGAAACATGTTAGACCTTCTTTTTCTTGTGTTTTTTTTGTGGTGGGCCATCTTTATTAGTTTGACTCTCGCCAACCACACTTATCGTATCAGGACCATTACCACTACCAATGTCGCTACCTTCAGAAAATTTCCGTTTCTTAGAACTTTTTACTGTTGAATCTGCACAAGGATCGTATCGACTTGTAGTGCTAAAAAACATATAAAAATTGGAAAACCTTCGATTTACGACGGGGGCTGATGGATTTGCAAAACTGAATGAGAAAAAACGAGAATTCTAGCAAAGACTGGTGGAAATGAAATTAGAAAAATTCTGTAAGAAAAGCGAACCTTTCAAAAATTTCTGCTGATATCATATAGCATAAACGATTTATATGAACTTTCAATACGAAATTAAGCATACGAACTTTTTAGAAAAGAATAGAAACATAATCTGTAATACTGGATGGCAAAAATAGCTCAGTCACCTCTTATATATATAAGTATCATGTTGAGCAGGTTTTCCTGTTATTCTTTTTGGTCCTCGTTCCTGCTCCATTCGAATGAATGTTTCGATATAAGCTCGACTTTTTTCTCCAGGTTCAGTTCCCAGCGACTCGTCCGCAAGTGCGTCGATTCGAGTCGCTAGCGATACTTTTGCCGCCAGTTTACGAGCTACCTAATAATTATCTTGGAATAAAAAGACAACCAGTAATGCAGTGAAACATTATATTATCTTATATTATATTATATTAATATTACATTAT